CGACGATCTCTTCTTCTCATAAGAAAATAATCAATTTGTGTTTTATTAGATCCACTCTTATAAGTAATAAGATGTTCATCCCTTTTCTTGAATAAAGTATTAGTAATAACAAAATCAAACGCTAAAGCAAAATCTAAAATAGTTTTACCTTCTTCATTAGTTACTCCAAAACCGTAGCCACCATGAATATTTCTGAAATCTTCTACCACTCTACCGACATGTCCATTTAAATCTCCTCCAATAAAAATTCTTTCTTCAAGAGGTATCATTTGTATTAAGTCTTCTAAGTCATTCCAAAATTTATCTTTAGACTCTGTATCTAAACCTACTTGAGGAGCATAAACACAATATAAAATTTAAATCACAATATCTGCATCAAGTAATAATCATGTCGAAAAAAACGGGGTAAAGGGGAATGAGGTTGGTTTTGGGTTTATAATGTTCTAGCATAAGACCAGATAACTAATTGTGCAGTCAAAAAACAAACAAACCAAAAGGAAAGAGACATGCGTGCTGGAGATTGAAAAAACAAATAAAATAGGAAAAAATATAGAATAGCTTGTGTGTTAAAAACTGACAACATAGTTAAAACGCACAATGCTGGTTACAAAAAGAGGTGATGAATAATATCATTGTAAGGAAACCAAAACTTATTTTAATGAAAGTAATAAACACAAAATCAATATAAGAAATTTGAAACTTCATCTAAGGAAAACCAGTTAGAGACCAGACTGTGCAAATTATTACTCGACACAAAGCAATAAAATTCTGGGTAACATAACCAAAAAAGCTTCAAGACTGACAGCGCTGCAGCAGGATTCAAGGAGGGAGGGCATGCAGAAGACAAAGGTCCTTAATAATTGATCGTTGGGGAGAAGAAAAAGCCAAGTTGGAAGTGAGTTTGTAAATGCTCTTTCTACTGCACTACTCATTTAGGTAAAAGAGTAGTGATGGATCTTATGTTGAGGTGTGGGTACAAAGCTTGGATGATGACTTCAAGTGAAGAGAGAATTGAATATGAATTGCTTTGTAACCAAGAACTAATAGTAATTACAAAGAGGTTGAAGCCCGTAACAAAGGATTCCACAAAAAGAAACTATAATAATAATCACCAAACTGTCTTCAAGTAACTTGAAATAAACACAATAATATTATTACTTCAATTGCAGACTCTTAAACCTTTAAAAAGAGTGATATACGGCAAGAGAGAGGGAGGGCAGGTTAAAGGCTAACTGGAAAATAAGCAAGAAAGCAAGAAAAAATACATCTCACAAATTTGTGACTTGGAGGGGACAATTATTAAAAAAAAAAAAAGAAGGGCAAATTAAGTTAAAAATACTCAATGCAAACTTTTTAAGCTAGTTATGGATTTTAAGGAAGAACGGTGGTCTTAATTGCACCATTTATTACTTCGGCGATGACTTGAACGGAAGGTGAAGGCGTCTTGTAATTAAGCACCTGCTGAGTTCTTTAAAGAGACAACCACATGCAAATATATCTTAATTGGAGTTTATCAAGGTTAATATTGATCAAAAAATTATTGCACTTTGAGGGAGAGGATAAAGTTCTAAATATCAATAGTGTCCATATGCTTGATCTTGATTTTTCATATTATTCTTCATGCAACTGAATTTTACATCTATGCTTGATATTTGATTCGTGTGAAAACACATCTGAAGATCATTAGGTCAAAGTACACTTGAGAAAGAGACTACACAAAAATAAATCTCAATATTCTCTAAGGATAACACGGGTCCTTCCCACTAGAAAACAGGTGTGATCAAACAATTAAAGGAACTTTTAAAATATATAGTAGATGGCCCTCCTCTAAAAAGAATCACTGCATGCACAACCTTTTCACTTCGCACTTCAATCCCCCAAATCTTCCCCTTTGAACAATCCAATTTTACTTCAGCTGTAAATACTCTAGGGCTATAATGTTAGTGAACATGCTGTTTAGGATCCCAAATCCAAAATGGATGTAGCACATGCAACTTTAATAACAGGCAGAAGTTTGTGGACTCTCCCATATGAGCATATGAATAGATATCCTCCCTTGTTATCACCCACCTCCATATAAACTTTGATAGTTCCTTTCTACAATATTGGACTAGGCTAGGCATGATATATTAATTTCTCTTCCATTAAATCAATTGAAAATCATCAACCAAATTTAATTTAAAAATAATAAGCTAACCATATAAATCAAAACATTTGAACGCAAACACGGACACAAATATACACTAAGGGACCGTTTGGGGCAGCTTATAAGTGCGGGCAGCATTTTCAAAACGACGTCTCACCGTTTAGAAAACATGTTTCGGCAACTTATCTGAAAACGTAGTTGGGTTTTTACACTAAACGCATGTTGCAGGTCGAATCCCGTGGGCCACCCGCGGGCCGTATTTCAGGATAAACTGTTACCTGGATAAGCACAAGCTGCCCCAAACGCACCCTAAGCCACCTAACAATGAATATCTTTTACAAGTATTTTCATAACAATTAAAAAAATGGGTAGAATGCAAATCATCAATGAAATATATACTATAATTGGAAATTCTTAGAATCACTATACAACTATTCCTAATATTAGTAAGAATTTCACTAAGTGTATTTATATTAGCATCAGCATATCTTTGGCTATGACACACATGCCTCTGTCTTAAAACACACCAAATCAATTATAGTGGTATAAAATTGAATGCCTCCTCAAAACTAATAAAAATCTAAACAAACTTTTTCTTTGGCCTTTATATGTCCTCAATAATATTCTAAACAAAAAAAATCCCTTCAATAATAAAGCTTCATGCGTTAAAGATAAATTGTTCTCCAAAATCTATGAAATTTTTTTAAGTTTAAACTCCACTACTCTTTCTGCTGTAGCTTCATAATATGGGTCATAAATTTTGTTCCAATTAGCATAAAGGTCGCCTTTGTTCTTAAATATCAGCAACAATATACTTTTCCAACCATTTGTCTCAAAATTCTATTGAAAAGGTTTGCGAACCAAATCATCGCAATACCCACATAACTCTCCAAATCTCAATAGTAGCTCACCTGGACATAAGCTTTACTTTTATGAATCTTTTTCATACTTAAATTTCCTTCAATTTTTTGAATCAATAGATAATATATTTCACAATATTACTTGTAATGCTCCTCAAAAATTTACTCTTCTTTAAAGCTCCCATTTAGTAATTTCTAGAAGTATCAATCTACAACCATAATCCTCCCTAGCCTTGTCAGCTGGCTTATGAGCCACTATCTAAAGATCGATTCCGAGCCCAAGAAGCCCATTAGTTTGCACTTCGTATCGTATCAGGAACTCGGGGCATATTGCAGCCATTGGTAGCTTAATTCTTGTGGCCTTTGGGTAAGAAATTGGCTAACCCAATACAAAAAATCTAATAAATAAAAAATAAAAAATAAAACTCTACAACAACCAATCAAAATTTTGCACCGCTGCATCCATTTGAAGAACCCAGAGCAAGATGAATCCTTGGTTTATAACTCAAGTTGGCATTTATACTTAATGCATATTACTTTGATCAAAAGTTCTAGATCGTCTGTATTCTCTCTTATTTGTTTTAAATATCTCATTTATTTTCTTTAAAGCTAATTGTATTTAATTATGATGCACTGAATTGTTTGCAAGTTCAAAAAAAGAAAAAGATGAAAACTTTAAGATAATTACGCTATATAATTACAAAAACTGACATTTTCAGGATGAAATATAAATATAAAAGTTATGATAGCTATCACAAATAAACAAAAGGTGAATATCTATCATTTGTCAGCATATGACACTAGTGATATAATAGCCATGACTTCAAAAAAAATGATTCACAAGGATATGGAGTTTAAAATAAAAAAGCAGTCTCCAATTTCCTACTTGACAACCCAATTATTAAATGTACATGAAGTACACAAACCAGGTAGATTCCGTCATTGTGACTTCAGTATAAGTTTTTTTAATGAAGAGATGTGCAAAACTTACATGTAAATAACCCGTGTTATCAAAATCTTCATCGTCATCTTGATCTTGAACAGCTTCACCATTCAAATCAAGATCAGAAGATCTTTTCCAATCAGGGGTAGAAGGGCAAACCATCTTTTCAGGGCTTTCATGGTAAAAAGTATACAATGCCTCTACATAATCCCTTTTATAGATTCCTGGAGGACGAGCTACCTCAAATTCATGAAGTGCCTACAAAGGGCAAAACCAGCAGCAGAATGTAAATTGCTCTAATCACATTACTACCAAGCAGACAAAAACACAATAGTTATACCTCAGTAACAGAGCACAATTTAGTGCGTACAAGATAATGGACAATCATAAAGCCGGTGCGATTATGACCATGAGTGCAATGAACAAGTACAGTTTTACGAGAATGCTTTTGACGGCCAATAAACTGCATGACCTAGAATACAAAAATTAAAGCAAATAAAAGTAACAATCATCAATAGATGATTAACTAGAATAAGGCTTCAATTGAACACAAAAATAATGAGCTTAAATTAATAATAATAACAAGAAAAGACAGATAGCAAAGTTAAAAAAGAATTGATACAATTAAACACGGTAATGTCCATGTCTAAACATTTTAAAGATTAACGAGTCAAATAGAGCGGAAGGAGAAAAATCATCAAAAAGTACAGAGCACAAAAATATGCTGATAGGCCTATCGAAAGGGTCTGACAAGTAAGATATTTTCAATTAAACGAGAATAAAAAATACAATCATTGCCAACATTCTTAATCCCTTTCCCAAGTCTCAATTACCATTATGAACCACCGGCAATAAATACACTTCAGGGGAGATTTCACCCATGACTGTTAGCTATTCAATCACAATACTTGAGTGTAAAAAAGAAGCTTCTTCCTCCCATCATCCTCAAAATACCATACAATAAGTGATTTATTCTCATCATCTATTCTAACCCTTCAATTTGCACACACCTAAAGACATGACACCACAAGAAATGGACATCAAAACTATTAACTACATCAAGCTTGCCATCTCCACGTTCAAAGCTAAATAACACGTGTTACTTTACAGCCTAACTTAATACAATTTCTGACAAGATATAATAGAAAGCATGCATCTCAAATGTTTGAATGAGATAAAACACGTTTATCACAGATTTTCTATGTTGATTAAGAATCAAATTTTATTATTAATATGCTCCTAGAAAAAAATTCAAAAAGGACGACTAGATTCCTTCAGTATGAAAAGGTAGAAGATAATCAACAGCACAATTATGCAATGAAACTGAAAAAGTTTGTCATGAATATCTATCCTAAATATGCTGACTAAACTCAACATAAGTTACCTCATATACAAATTTATTCACGGACTCGTTATCCGGTACAGCATCACGTCCCTTGCAAGCAATCTGTAATAATAAATATTTAAGCCAATAATTTGCTAAATATGGCACAATTATCAAAAATAAATAAATAACCCAGTCATTTCTCACCTTAATATATTTAATGCCCAGCCTTGTATATTCTAATGGAGAATAATATCTTGTTGTATTTGTCAAATCCACGACCAAACCAAGCTATCCAAACATCAAGCAAAAAAAATGTGATTCAATTAAACATATTTGACATATCGCATTCAATAGGTAGAGCGTCAACATAGAAAGACATGTCAGAGAATACTAGTGTAGTACATCAGCCACAATGGCATACAACAACTTTGGCAGTCATGCATATTTTCACTTTCACAAGTCATATGAGATCATTCATATTCTCCATTGAAACAAAAAATGGTCGAGCCACAAAATCTCGAGTTGCTGGTAAGCTACTTACTGTTGCAGCGTCACTAAATTTTCAACACTGACAAAAATTTAAATTCCAGTGGATAAAAAACAGAACTAGTTAAACTAATTATTAAAAAGCAAGCCATAAAAATTAGTTAAGTTTTCTCTGCATTGTAAAGCCAAAGGGCCAAATCTCAAACAATGATCCCCAATAAAATTTTTAAGATTCCAAAGGATATACACCCGAATCAAGGTAAAAATTTCAGTGGAAATTCTAATTGACATAATATATATGGGCCACCTAGGGATCAGATTAAGACGACAACAACAACAATAGCAAGCCTTCATCCCGCCAAGTGGGGCTAGTTGCATGAATACTTTTTTCTCCATCACGTCCTATTAAGTGTCATAATTTCAAATAATTCTAATAAATTAAGATGACTTCTTATACAACATACCCAAGCCTTATTATTTTAATGTATGACACATTAACTTAATTCCTCTATTGTGTCATATTGAGTGTCATAAATCCAAGCTTATTATGAGAAATCTTTGTATCATTTCTTAACCTACGCTCAATCACTCTCTCTCATAATTTTAAGGTATGACAAATTAACTTAATTCCTCTATAATTTGCTAACTCTTGTGCAACACCTTTATTCTTAAAAATGGGGACCAAAATACTCTTTCTCCACTTTCTTCACTCATCATATGTCTTCTTAGTTTTTAAAATAACATTTAAAATTATAGTAAGTCGAGAAATTCTCAGATCTCCTATGCATTTTCGCACTTATATTGGAATACCAAAAAATCATATTGTTTTCCCACACTTCACTTTTTTAGATCTCATCAACTTTCATTTACTAATGCGACGATAGATATAAAATATTTTGTTATTATTTACAATATTAAGATCATTGAGGTCGGTCTTATTTTCACAATCTTCACTGAACCCATCTATGTTAAAGATCCTTGTCAAAGAAAATCATTTCTAGATGTTCATCATTAATACACTTTACTTGAACTAAATCTTTACATTTTTTATCTTTTTTGCTTAGTTATTTTATACAAATATCTTTCACTCTTTTAAGTGTATTATAAAAAACACTAAAAATATAATTAGTAGCATCATAAATTGTTCTCTTAGACTCTCTATGGGTCACCCTGTTATTTTTCAATTTTTGAAGCTTAAACATAATTTATTTTTATAATAAACATCTTAACTTTTATCTTCTCTTGCAAGTTATTATTTCAACCCCAACTATTTATTTATTCATAAGAATTTTTCTTTTTTATTCTCCAAGCACACCTTTTTGCAGCATACTTAACAATACTCATTAATTTATCTCACATATTCTTAACTTTTTCGTGAGCATCTCAGATCTTAAGATCTTCATATTTACTAATTGAAATAATTTTATTTATCTTTGAAGTGCTCTCATATAATTTTATGAAAATATTTTATTATATTTTTCATCTTTCAACCATTCATCTTAAAATCTAAAATCAATAATCAATATTAGATACTTAGATTTTCAGTTAGAATGAACTTAAAATACTTATAATCTCAACAATCTATTTTTCTCATAAAAAATAATCAATTTATGTTTTATTAAATCAATTCTTATTAGTGATAATATGATCACTCATTTTTTAATAAAGTATTAGCAATAACAAAATCATAAGCTAACAAAATAAAACATTGCACTACTTCATAAGTCACTCTAAAATTAGTCACTATGAATACTTCTAAAATTTTCTACCAACCTACCAATATATCGATTTAAATCATCTCGAATAAAAATTTTAGGATCCATATCATAGCTTTTCGATAATTTTTTTATGTTGGTTGTTGACAATCTAACGGAACCATTCACTTTTCGAATATGAAACTTGGGACCCAGCAATAGCAGTGTTTACCACTACCCATTTGATCTCCACCATATAATCATCAGCATCATCCCAACTGTTTGGATTTGGGCTTTATCAATCATCATTTCCTACTTGTCTAAGTGATGCATGAGGTTTTATACATATTCACAGCAAATCAATTTGAACATCTTCTATCCAATTTAAATTAACTTTACTCATTTCAAAATCCCTAAAACTAGTTTGCACTTTCAACCGTTTGTTGAGCATGTCGATACCACTCTAATACTCAATAGAAGATGCTCCAAATTATTTTGATAATTTTTCTTTAATTTATAATTCCTAATTTTGGCACATATCTATCTTAACATTCTCAGTTGATAGCACTATATTAAATATACTTATGATGCATATATGAAACATAATTATAAGTTTAACTTTTTTAACAAACTATACACTGTAGAAATAAGCTCAAAATTTGTCACGTGAAATGCTTGTTTCTCCCTCATAATGCATGCAATGGGTTATTTTATAGATTTTTCTTTGACCAATATAATTTATAAATAAAAACTCCCTATTGCATGCATACACTTGCCATATTACTGCTTCCAATATTTTATTTTTCTTTCTACAACATGATTTTATACACTATTAAAATAAGGTTAAATTTTATCGTGTGAAATGCTTGTTTCTCCCTTAGAATGCACGCAATGGGTTATTTTATAGATATTCTTTCACTAATATAATTTATAATTAAAACATTTGCATTGCACGCATACACTTGCCATATTACTGCTTCCTATATTTTATTAATCTTCTACAACAAGATTTTACAAGAGAAATGTCATGTTTGATAATCTTCATATCAATTCTCCAAGATACATGCAGATACTCACGCCATTGACAAATTTGATGCTGCGGGGAGGGGGAGGGGGGGAAAGGTGGGGTTGTTTACCACTATTAATATCTTTTTTCAAGCGTACCCTGTTTAATGTCTACATAAGTGAAGATTAAGCTTTTATTTATTTGGGGGGCAGCTGTAATGGAAATTTTTTGATATTTCATTTTCCTAAAGAAAGAATATCTCAAGGCACCATTAATCTTGTGCTTATTGAAACTCGGCGTTATTATATAAATTTAGAATCAATACATAATAAAAATCTCTAAAAATCATTTCTTAATATGAATTTCTTCTTATTTTTATGCAATCAACCATATTCACCAAGCTAATTTAAGAGCACCTGTAAGTCTTGTTCATCACTATAATATCTCTTTTTTATCTGGGGTCAATTTTTGGCAGAAACATTCAAGGATGTATGTTTTTTTCAACCTATGTGGTAATTTTATGCGAGCCAAATAATAGTCACAATTTTATTGTTTGCCAAGTTGTGCTCATTTTATAATGATTTCATAGGACAGTTTACAACAAAACTTAGATCACGTGAAGAAACTATGATGGCATAAAACAATCAATCATTTCTAAGATTGTCAAATTTTATTTATCTGATTGCTTCGAGTTGTTAAGAATTTAAAATCAAAGTTTCCAGAAGAGGAACCTAACTATTGAATTTTTATGCAAACCAAATAATTCAGTTTTTTAGACATTATGATATATTCATGCGTAATCTGTTTATTGTCTAGGTGATGAAAGATTTCCAAGCAAATTCAGTATTAAAGATTTCCCACCAAATAAATAAAAGCTTAATAAGATACTGTCCACTCACAGTTTTAATCTTAAAGAAAGAATATATCAAGGCACAATTAATCTTGTTCTTATTGAAGCTCGAAGTATATAAATCTAGAATCAAAACATAATAAATTCTTCACTCGAAACAAGATATTATCCCACTTTAAAATCTCTAAAAATCATTTTTTAATCCGAATTTATGCAATCAACTATACTCACTAAACTAATTTAAGAGCACCTGTAAGTTTTGTTCATCACTATAATATCACCTTTTTTCTGGGGTTAATTTTTGGCAGAAACATTCAAGGATGTATGTTTTTTTAGCCTATGTGGTAATTTTATGCAAGCCAAATAATCGTCACAATTTTATTGTTTGTCAGGTTGTGGTCATTGGATGATGATTTCATAGGACAGTCTACAACAAAACTTTGATCATGTGAAGAAACAATGATGAAACAAAACAATCAACCATTTAAAATCAATGTTTCAGGGAGTGGAACCTAACTATTGAATTTTTATGCAAACCAAATAATTCAGCTTTTAGACGTTAAGACTTATTCAAGCGTAATCTGTTTATTGTCAAGGTGATGAAATATTTTCCAAGCAAATTCAGTATTAAAGATTTCCCACCATTTAAATAAAAGCTTAATAAGAATCTTTATCCAATTAAAGTCCACCGAAAGAAGCCATTAAGATGGATTTTTTATATTTGGCATATATTGTGGTGGATTTTTTATATTTTACTTATTGGAGAGCCAAATAATAAATGTAAAAGAATAAATTCGGATATAAAGAGGATGAAGAAATTAAGAAAATTAAATGAATGAATGCTGAAGAGGTGGGGGACGGGAGATATAAATGAAAAAATATATCTAACGAACCCAAAAAAATTATGAAGATCGCAAAAGAGAACCTCCTATTTTCCAGCATCAACCACTTCAATTATGACATTGGGAGTGGTAAAAGTTAAGCACTTATCCAGAATTAAACAAAAAAAAAACTTTGAAAAATAGAAAAACACAAAAAGAGTAAAAAATGACAAACTAAATTTAGGGTCCATTTGAGGCTGCTTTCGTTCCGCGACGCAGCGTCGATATGCGACTTTCGCCTGTTTGGGAAGACGTCCGGCATTTTTGATTAAACAGGGGCAACAGGTCGGACCCCACGGTCAGCATTTTAAGCTTGTGTTTTTAAGCGATACCCACGTCCATTTGTTTGTTCGACACATGTCGCTCCTCTG